TTTGAAGAGGTGTATTAAGTATTTGGATAGTTTATTTAATACGTATATAAGGAGAGAATAAGTGTATGTTATTTATTTATGTATTTATTTAGTACATCGACAATAGTTCTGTCGATTATAATTATTAAAATATATTTTAACATTTTATATATACTTGTATAAAAATAAGAAAATTAAAATGATTATATAACTTAATATAACATTATATTCTCAACTTAAAAGAAAAGAAAGCCTCAGAAAAAGCTGTACAATAACGTGCCTCCGACACGTTGGGGGAATTTTATTTACCAATCGATCTATTTTACAAATATTTATGATATTTAATATATCACAAATTAAAAAGTTCAATGAACAATTGTCCGATATCATTTTTTTGAAAAGGTGTATTAAGTATCCGGTTAGTTAATGACATACATGTATATAAGGAGAGAATAAGTGTGTATTACGATATTGTAGGTTCTCTCGCCAATCGATCCATTTTACTAATATGTTTTGATAGATATTGCACCCAATAACGCTCGAGCTGCCAAATGCCACTTAAGTTGTCAACACTTGTGGACAGAAAATAAATACGCACACACATACACACGCACACCGTTATACGGTTCAGCCTTTACGCACGCATGCACAATGAATCTCACAGGCACTTCCACTTCCACCCCCAACGAGTATAGTATAATCATCCGCACCTTAAATACCCAAATCAAAAAATAAATGGTAAACACTAGACTGGCCAGCAATGTAGCTGATCCATCCCCTGACAACACCCCAACCGCACGCTTTCGCCCCTCCCCAACGCCAACGCCAACGCCAACCCCAACCCCAATCTTGGGCGACCTCATGGCGACTCTATCGAAAAATGCTGATGAAATGATATTTAGAATATTTTCGGTGTGCCGCTTTGTTGCTCTGTGTCTGTCCTGCTGTTTGTTTGTGTGAGTGTGTGCCTGTGTGTGTGTGTGTGGGTAGAGTAGCATGTTGTGTTTTATGTGTTGAAAAATTCCTGCAGAGCATGGCAAATATTTATTTAATGCTTTGAGTGGGCAGCTGATAGCCCGACGACGTATGAAACATGCAAGGAAGGCAGCTAGTATGCTATAATAAAGCCGTACTTGTTTGGCTTGGTGTCAGCACACAACATGCATGAAAAAGGCTATTCGGTTGTTAGTTGGGTGTTTGAGACTTGGTAGCCCACGTCTTGGTGCTGCCGAGTTAATTGCCACTGCATATCAAGGCGGTGGTTGCCTTTGTTTGCCCTCGGCAAGCGCCATTGTGATTGGGTATATGAGTATGTCCATAAGTAGATAGTGAAAACGAGGCGCTGACTAAGGCTGACTTTTGGAGCAGCTCCAAAAAACATGACAGCAAACAACAGCAACAATGGCAACGGCAACGGCAACTACTATGGTGCAGACTATTTTAATGCGCTTGCCCTTTTGTGTAGAATCTGGCCAAAAGACGACATAAGAGGCGAACGGGTGGGCGTCTAGTGTCGTCTATTGTGTGTGTCTAGTTTTAAGTGCTGCACAGGTATAAATCACTAGCTGTTGCTGCTAAACATTTTTTTTTCGTCAGCGTCTGCAGTAGCTTCAGGTAACGGTTACGGTAACGATAATAGCAATGGCAGTGGCAGTGGCAGTGGCAGCAGCAGCGGCAACGGCAACGACAACGGCATTACCGGCGGCTGCGAAAAATGCCACACGGGCGCCGCATAAAAGTATGCAATAAAATATTTTCGCATTTGGAGGGTCCAGACATTTTAAGTGGCTTTGGCTGCAAATTGACGCGCCCACGTTCTCAAATTTAATGCTGCTTTAAGACGCAACGGATTGCAATTTACGCACTAGTTTCATTAGCATTTACCAGCAGCAGGCCGCTTGTCGTTACAGCAACCACACAAAGGTGGGCGTGGTCGAGGCCAACAACCGAGCCGCTGACTGAAACAATATTTATGTGCAGGTTGGCCTGTTAACAGGCCGGAGCAGTAGCTTCTGGCTCCAAGTGTGCGTCTGTGGCAGTTTGTGTGTGTGTATGTGTGTGTGTTTTTGGGTCTCGGCTCTGTTTGCTCACAAACCTGATTACAAAACTCATAAAGTCGCCATGAAATTCAAACAATGCGTTACGTGCATTGAATTCCAAGAGCATATAAAGGACAATACCAAGCACACAGGCACACAACCAAATAAATACTAACACACGCACACTCTAGACACATGCATAAACAACATTTCTGTTTGACCCAACGAGTTGAAAGTTTGACGTTATTGTGCGTATACGAACGAGCATGTGAGCTCTGTGCGATGTGTTAAGGTACGAGTATAGCTCTTTATTACATTTTGATTATTGCAATCTCGTTTTGAGGACGATCCAACAAGAAAGAAGAGAGGACCGTAATGCCAGAAAATTCGATTCCATTGCTTTCAAAGTGTGCGCCCAACTTCAAAGGCTCAAGCGAGCGCTGATAAAACTGATTTACAGCGCATAACTACGAAGAAAAAGTACATTAAAGAAATCAAATCAGCTTGTGAAGCTGTGCATAAACTTGGGCAACTTTTTATTCCTGTTCTGGTCTTAGGTGCACGCCTAAACTGCTTTAAAAGCTCGCCACACTCGGCCAATGGCAGATGCATAAATATATAAATACCCACGCTTGGCCCACAAAACGATTTGTCAAAAGTGGTTTTTACTTGTGGATTATGAATACTTTGCTTAAATTTAGCTGACAGCAGAAAATTATTATACAATGATTAATATTTATTTGTGCAGGCGACTGAGTCCGAGCCCAGATACGGACTCCTTACAAAGACCCAAGTCCAGCTGCCAACCCGGAGTCGCTTCTGAAGCCACAACAAGTGACAATGTGGCAACAACAGCATCAGCCTCAGCGTCGTTCTCAGCATAAGAACATTTACTTTTCCTGCTCTTTTTTCTGCTGCTGCGCTCCAAAAGGCATTTAATTTAGATTTATGCGCCGCATGACATTGTGACAGGCTCAGGCGTCCACCATTGCCCAACGAGACCTCTTCCAGCTCTCCGGCTAGGTGAAAAAAGTAAACACAACGCCCACAATGCCCTGAGCGCAAAATTATGATATTGCCGTCTTGGCGCACATGTTTACCAGCCACTTGCTATGTGTGCATGCGTGCGAGTGTGTGTGTGTGTTTGAGTTTATTGGTGTGTTAGTGTGGGTGTGGGTGTGGGTGTTGGTGCTTGTGTTTGTGTTTGCGCGCCGCCTGATAACTTATCGAACAATAAAATAGCCTTAGGCTTGCCGCTGGCCTGTCAGCGGCGTTGGCGCATAAGTCGACACAAGGCAAATAAGGATATGCGCAAATAAAATAGCAATAAATCAAAACGATTGACGATCTGACGATGCGGCTTCCGACGCAAAGTCGCTGATGGCTTCCCCAGCGATTAAGCTTTCATACTCGTAGTTGTGATTTCTGCTCTCGAACAGATATATTTTCCATATGCCTTCTCATATAGTTGTACTTGTATATAGTATACGCGTATAAATCATTTTAAGTTCAATGTGTGACTTTTCTCTTTTACCATTCTGGTTTGCGGCTCTCTTACGTTATTTAAGTTGTTAGTTTAAATAAGAACTGCATTTTAGTATATGAACTTGCCTCATTGCAAATGCAAAAAATATTAACAATAGATTTTCAGCAGCTGTTTATATTTACAGATGCGTACGTATATATACTTGTATATTATTTTATTTGTATATCTTTTGTAAAGCAACCTTCGCTTCTAGATCGAATATCAATAACAACTTATGCAGCGACGGGAATCTATTCCAAGACTCTGATCGCTACCCCAATACAATAATTGTTTATAAAATATTGCAATTTCCCAATGTTTAACAGGAGGGTCAGGAAGTCCACCTACAAGGGAGTACCTGGAGTACAGAAAAATTTGTCATAGAGGTATCCGTTTTGCGAATACGCTTCATTTCTCGAGCCAGCCTAGAAGAATGAGGCGAATTGTCACTAAGCTTGTTTTAGTGCCAAACAATTTCTAGGAAAAGGTACCTCCAATGTTTTATTTAAACTCCCCAAGTTAGACGTTGGAGTATTTACTCATCTGACGAATGTTGATTGGCAGTCATGAAAATTTGGACCAGATAATTAGGAAAAGAAATGATAGGTCAATGCTGAATACGAATGGGGGGAAATGAATTTCCAGAAAACAAGCTTTTCTTTTTGTGAAAGTCTGCTTTTCTAATGGTGGTCACCGACGGATATATCGATATCGAATCTCGATAAGTATGACAAGACCAGTCTGTTCAAAAATATATGTATGTAAGGTCTGCTACTCCCCTTCTCTTACACTTTGTTCAAGTTCGAATTTATTTATAATTGAATTTGCATGAAAAGCTATTGTACTTGTATATTAGCTCAGTTACAAATGCACAAAATTGGAATAACAATAGATTTTGTGCAGCTGTCCATATTTACAGATGCATATGTAAACTTTCTAAGCGTTATTTTCAAAATGTACGCAAATAAATGACAAAAACATCTGCATTTATTCGCTATATAAGGGCGCACATTTTCGCAATTGATTCAGTGTGAAATTTGAATTTTGCCTTAAGGCACCTCTAAGGATGAAATCTTTGGGGAAGAGTCTGGCTGTTGCTTTTTTGGCAGTTTGCCTAATAACAAACTTGGTAGATGCTAATCAAGGGGAACCAGATCTAAGCACTCCGGACTTATCGCCTCCAAATTCGATATGGGGAAAAATATTAGAGGCGATAATGAAGGCAATCGAAAGACGAACAGGGGAGACAGAACCTGAAACCCCGCCAGAGACTGTGGACAATAATCCAGCTTCAGATTCTGTACCCGAAACTGTACCCGAAACTGTACCCGAAACTGTACCCGAAACTGTACCCGAAACTGTACCCGAAACTGTACCCGAAACTGTACCCGAAACTGTACCCGAGACTGTACCCGAAACTGTACCCGAAATACCTCCAAATGATGATGTTGTTACAGAGCTACCGCCAGAGGGAGAAAATGGTTCAGAAACTGAAGAAATACCCGAAACACCTCGTGATAATAATGTTCCAGATTCGATTTGGGATAACATATTAGAGGCGATAGAGAAGGCAATCGAAAGACGATCAGGGGATCTAGAGTCTACCGAAGAACGCGGCGCAGAACCTGAAACCCCTCCAGAGACTGTGGACAATAATCCAGCCTCAGATTCAGATCAAGAAGATCCAAATTCAAATGGTGGTTCTGTTCCAGAGCATCCGCCAGAGGAAGAAAATGGTTCAGGAACTGTACCCGAAACTGTACCCGAAACTGTACCCGAAACTGTACCCGAAACTGTACCCGAAACTGTACCCGAAACTGTACCCGAAACTGTACCCGAAACTGTACCTGAAACTGTACCCGAAACACTTCCACCTACAGAGCTACCACCAGAGGGAGAAAATGGTTCAGAACCTGAAGAAATACCCGAAACACCTCGTGATAATAATGTTCCAGATTCGATATGGGAAAAAATATTAGAGGCGATAGAGGAGGCAATCGAAAGACGATCAGGCGATTTAGAGGCTATCGAAGCATCCGAGACAGAACCTGAAACCCCTCCAGAGACTGCAGAATCTAATCCGGATCCAAATTTAGATCAAGAATCAGAGCCAACTGTCGCTCCAGTTTCAGAGCCCCAAACTGACCCAGATTCAGAGCCTACAGAGCAACCGACAGAACCAAGTATTGAAACACAAGCAACAACAATACCCTCAACAGTAAGCTGGGTACCAGGATGGGGTGGAGCAGGACCTGCACGGGGTATACAAGGTGGTTGGGGAGTACCTGGACTACCTGGACTACCTGGAGGATTTGGAGGACGTGGACATTGGGGGTGATCGGATGGGTTGGAAAAATGCAATATCAATTTCAGCAATTAGCGCAATTTCATTGTTTCCCATAAAAAAAGCATAATCATATTAATACGAATTAGTTTGCAGCAGAGAATTCAAAAATTCCCATTAACTTGGTCATACATGTATCTCTTTAGAAATATGAATGAATAAAATGTTAAACCCGATTGAACCCAAATTTAATAATTGGCTGCTGTAAAGCTGATGATTAGCCAAATGTTAATAATATTTTTACCAAGTACTACTACATCCTGAGCTAGTTCAAATTTTCCTGAGCTTTGTTTTCAAATGGACAACAATTCAATCAATGGTCCTTTAACACACATGTGCAGAATATAAACGCAAGCTCGTCCTCTCTCGAACTAGGTATAACAAAAAGCTAAAAAGGTTGTTGAGTTTGCTTGAATTACGAGTAAATAAAAAAGGGTAAATAATTTTATTTATTGTTTAAATTGCATCAAAATGTGAGCAAACGCTATTGTACTCGTATATTGGCTCCGTTGCAAATGCACAAAATTAGAATAGAGCAATAGAGCAGCTGTCTATATTTACAGATGCCTAAGTATATTTTGTAAGCGTTATTTTTAAACAGTAGGCAAATAAATGACAGATCCACCTGCATTTATTCGCTATATAAAGCCGCACGTTACCGCAATTTAATCTGTCTGAAATTGTTATCTGAGGATGACCATTTTGGGCAAGAGTCTGGCTCTGGCTTTTTTGGTAGCTCGCCTAATTGTCAATCTGGATGTCGCTGTACGACTACCAGCTATACGTGCTCCGAACTTATCGCCTCCCATTTCGGTATGGAAACAAATATTACAGAGAATACAAAAGAAACTCAAATTACTTTCCTCGTCTAAATGCCCAATCCAGAGATGTGCCCATATTGCAATTAAGAAGCTCCAGAAAGTAAAGTGACCCAGATTTAGAGATTACAGAGCAACCGCCAGAACAAAGCATACCAGCAACAACAAATGTCGTTTCCGGAAACTTTGGAGGATGGGTGGGATCTGGAGGAGCAATATGTGTTTGTTCCAGAGTAGGCTTTGGCTTTAGGCTTATCACGACTGTACCATCATCGCACAAGCATGATTTGAATTGAGAATAAAATACTTGTAGTCTTAAATTCTGTAGATGTAGTTTCTTATATGAAAAAGTCTCTGTAGGTCGATTTGGAAATGTTATTAATAATTTTTATAACATGAACGGAATGCTAAAGTTGGGCAGGCTCAACTCTTAAATACCCTGTACCACCCCACCAAAAACAGAAAAATTATTTAAAAAATTTAATTAATTAATTAAATTAAATATAAAATATTCCATACATGCATACATACATTTACATCAGAATAGTGTCTATTCGTGTTGGTGTACTTGTAAATATGTGTGCATTGGGCCTGGTTAAATGGCTATAACTTTCTTTCTAATCACCCTATCATAATGAAACTTCGTATACGGATATATAATCTAACTAACTGGATGCGTCTACCAAATTTTTGTTTAAAATTCCAAGAATTACGGGTGTTATAGAAAATCTTGAATAGGGAGGAGTGGGGGGTGCATCGGGAAAAAGGAACAAACTCGTCCTTTCCCGGGCTCAGGAGAATCTGTAAACCAAGTTTGGTTATTCTAGCTCTTATACTTTCTGAGATCCTTGCGTTCATACAGATAGACGGACATGGCTATATCGACTCGGCTTGTCACCTTGTACCCTTTGGGACCAGGGTATAAAAATTTTGTCGTTTCAAATTATAATAATATTTATATGTAATAACATACTAAGTACATCCGGATCTAGTTAAAATGGGTGTAATCAATGTTTTAAAACAGACAACAATTTCATCAACGCTATTTCGATCAAATAAATATTAGAGCTTTCTTGACAACGCACTTATTAATGTAGTATGAATACGTAATACATGTTACATAACTTATAATGTGCATAGTTTTCACGAAGCTCAGTAATTATGGCATCCGTTGATTCATTTGCATAATGTCTGTTGTTGCTTTTGGTATAATTCATGCCATAAAGTTCTATGCCCGACAACTGAAATCAATGCATCGTAATTGGCCGTCTTCTTGCCGCCTGCCAATGTCAATAGAGAAACTTCATTATAAATTACGCAACTGACAGTTGAAGACAGCCGGCAAGGGAGCGGGGGATTGAGGCGGGTAAAGTGCTTAAGCAAAAATAGTATTTCCGTAGCTTTTGTCTGCTTCAGTGTGTTGGTGTGTGTGTGGGGGGGTCGCTTGCAGCTTGGTCTTAAACTCCTACCCACACCGGTTATTCTTTCAATCTGCTTAGTTGCCAAGACACCCCCGTCAGTGTCTCGGGCTGCGAGGCAATCAACCATGCAACCAACCATTTGGCTTCTGCTTCTGTGCAACAGCCTTGGGCAATGGGAATGGGAGATGGAGCTAAGGCTGAGTTGCCGCTTCTGTCGTTGATGGTCATTGAAAATGATTGTTGTGTTAAAAATTGTTGTATAATTGTGCGGAAGTTGTGCGGGGCCAGGCAGCGATAGCGCAACATGCTGCTACAATATGCGCAATATCCCAGGGTCGGAAAGGTGGGGGCGGAGGACCCACATAAAAAGCAAATGTCGCATCGTTAAGTTAAAAGCTTTATGCAAATTTTGTATTCTCTCTGCTCTGCTCCCCCCTCCACCATTTTCGTGGCGTTGCACTGTAGCTAAACCGAATGAAGCTCGTATTGGGAAAAATCAATGAGTCTTCTACGTTGGATCTCCCCTAAATACATACAAGAATGACTGCAATTGTCTGCCTTGAAGTAAGTAGAGAGATGAACAGATGGGCAGGTGTGGAGAGCCTTTTTGTGATAAGAACAAGTGGCAACAATTAATGTGCAAACGGCCACATTTAATGGCAGTCGCTTTGCCATAATTTTGACTCGAAAATATATTAAAAATTGTGATGCGTGCCAACAGACGGTGGCTGCTTTATTGCCACCAGCTAAACGGTGGAGGGGACGCGAATGCCTGGAAGGCTGGACACGCAAGCGGGCTGATGGCAGACATTAGGTATTGACAACAGCGGGCAGCAGGAATCAGGCAACAGGCACCAGGCATCAGGAACCAGGCATCAGGATCCAGGCAAGGAGCGTGTGCGAGCATTATGTTTGAGTGTGTACTTGATATGGCGTCATTAAATACACATTACCATGCCACAAGCCTGCAGTAACAACCACCGGGGTAGCCAATGCTGTACAACAATAAAGAGCAACAATCGGAGGCGAGTCAAGCGAGAAGGCAAGCAAGTGAGTGGCTATTAAAAGGCGGCAAAAAAGAGACACTCATACACATAACAAATTACAACATTTCAACAGCAAAGAGGAGCGTCCCGCAACGTGTCGAAGGCGGTCGTATATGCTGTTGGCTGGCGATGGCGTCGGCGACGGCGGTGTTGGCGGTGGCAATGAAGGAGCGATGCCATCGCTTGTGGCATTCAATGAAGCAGGTTCAACGGCTGGCGATGGCGTTGTCGGTGTTCAGTTTCAATTGTGCTCGTAAATGTGGCTCCAAATTGGCTTCGACCGAATAATTCATACGAAACACTTTCGCACCATTCGCCATTAGCATGGGATGGGAAGAACGGGTGCTGGGGGAGCAGCGCGTGCTCCACTGTTACGCCCCATGTAACCCCAGGATTGCATTTACAGCAAATTATTTATGGCTGCGGCAGACACGAGCACAGGAAGCGAATATGCGCTGCCAACTTCACGTCTATCAATATTTTATGGAGCTCTGTCTGCAGGAGCAGACGCCAGCCACAGTCCAGGATATCTGGTTACATGGCTGTCTGGCATTGGCGTCGTCATCAGCATCAGCATCGGCTTCGTGTCGGCGTCCCGGCCTGCCTGCCAGCCTGCCGATATCCGGTTAGATGAGTATCTAAATTGCCTCTACTGTTGATGAATTAGTGCTGTCGCGGGAGACGGGCTGCTCTGCAGCAAATACGACAAGGGTAGGCGTTTTAAGGCATGCCTGGTGTCTGCCAGATAAGTCTCATCAATGCACACTCAACAGTTCTATGAAAAGAAATTTCAATTTATTTCGAATGATTTTCGCAAAGAATGCCCCTAGACAAGCAAACTCTGCACCAGTCTCAGCCTACATCCCCATTCATAATGATTACTCTATGATGTCAGTAGCAGCAGCAACTAAAAATCTGTGGAGAAGAGCCAAAGGTGTGCGCTGTAAAGGCTCGAGAAAATGTGGCGCAACAAGCGACAGCCCTCCGATGTCTGCATGGACACTTGAGTGGGCAATTCAGACAGAATCGCAACAAAGCGCGCTCGCCAACTTGATATATGAACTTGATGTGTGAGTTTGTCTAGCCCGAGTACAGTTTTTATGTTCTTGCCAAGGTTGCAATCGAAATAAATGGCCTGCATATGTGTCACAAGTGTTTGTAGAGATGAGACGACTAATCAAAAGCAAATACACGTACTGAAAGAAATAGAGTATTATGTGTGGATCTCAGTCTCTAATCTCCGAATAAAGATCCACTCTTAGAAACAAAAGTTTGCTTTGTGGCGCTATGCCTCTGTTCGAGATTTGTCACTTGGCGTTTTGTGTTTAATATTAATTTTTCATAAAAAAGGTGTTTTATACACATGCCTAAAATCACGCCTTATACATAGATACTATTGAATATAAGCTATATACATTTTTGATCCTCTCGTAATCCTGTTTAGAGCTGCGAAGAAGACATATGTTTTTGGACTAATTAATGTTTAGGCTTTTCAACAAGTATAATTTCAAAAAGCGTCTGTTTCAGGCGCTGTATTGCCTTCACAATCGTGGCATCTATCGCTGTTGAACTTCAATGATTTTTTAATCATGTCATAATAAGTAACAAAATTTTCAGTTAGAAAACAAAAACGTAAAAATCATATGTCTCGAAAGGAAATCGTATCCTTCCTACTCCTTCTTGTGGCGGTATGTTTGCTTGTGGCATATCAGAGGACGCTGTCGATTGTAACATTCAACCGCTTAGCTCATTTCCCTGCTGAATGCCACTATCTTTGCCAATGTAATGCCCACCCACATTAACTTCAGCCAGTTGGGGCATCAAACAATTACTCTGAGCACCTCCTACATATGCATCCTCTATGGGCTGAGCACTTGGCTCTATCATTCGAACTATAGGCGGCCCAGGCGACACATGCGCTGGGTGGTAACTATAACATAACTGATATTGCGGTATTCACAACTCATCTTGAGGGTCCCACAGCAGATTGCCATGTTAAGTATCTTGATTGTGGCGAATATTGTGACTTGTTACTACTTCGTTGACTCGATCAGTATGCGAAAAGTGAAGGAGAGCACGGATATCGAATCACTGTTGACTCCATTTGAAAGGGCTTGCAAATGGATCTCACTAGTGCTGAGCATTGTTGCCGTTCTGCTGCTATTTTTATCGCTGGTGCTGGTGTGGTTGACGGCATGGCGAAAGGAAAAAGAACGCCACATCAGGCTATATCAGGAGAGAAAGTCTGTGATGAAGAGATGATGAACGCGAGCATGAAATATTGAAAAAGTGTTGCCTACTTTGAGGGGCACGAGGCATCAGCTTGCCGGGGGACGGGGAGAGGCATAAAGAATACGTATGAATAGCTTTAAATTGCTACCTTGCACCGTAGAGTTTTGAATGAAGAGCCCAGCTGATGCCAACGACAGTTCTCCTGCTCCTTATCCTTGGCTTTCCTATCTTCGTGGGTATGCATATAAAATGTTGTTTGCATGCAGCGCCAAACATTTCATGTCACTGCAATGTGGCGCCGCCGCTGCAATAATAATATAAATATTATACGTATGCAATTTTCGTAGCAGACACACAACACACACACACACACACACCGGTAGGAACATGTTGCGAGAATGATATAAAAACTGTCTGTCTGCTTGCGTGTGCAGTTGCTTTGCAAGTGATAAAAAATATGGGGGTTTTCCGAGGTGAAACAACACAGGTATAGTACTATACCTGTATATACTTACATATTCGTATATGAGTGTGTGCTGGAACTTAAGGAAGGAAAACAACAAGCCTGTGTGAGTATATGACTTGTCTTTATATTGCATTCTGCTGTATAATGGAACAGTTTTTGTGCGTCAGACAAATCAACTTATTCGCAAGTTAAAGTTGAAATGTTAAAGGCGTCCAACTTTCAGACATCCAGCTTGAGCCAATTAAGCACCCAGCTGGCACAAAGTAAGAGGCTTTTCGAAAGGCAATCAAAAGTGACATTTCTACAACAAAATTTCCAGTTAAGTTATTGCCGCGCCCATCCAGCCCATCCAGGCCATCGTTCCATCCACCTCACCCCCACTAAAAAACGCACACAAATTCACTCGACTGCGCAGCGAAAGTAATTCCAAATTTAATTGCGTATAATTTAGAACGACGAAATGTTTTCGTGTGTTTAATTAACTGCAAAATAAAAAAAAAAATAAAAAAAAGCGAAATACGCAACAGTGTAGGCATTCCAAATGGCAACAGCAGCAACGACATTCAGCAGCCAAATGCTTATTGTTAAATGGCAACTAATTAAATTTTAAACATACCATAGGATCGGAAATAGGATGGGGGCGCATAGACAAGTAGACGGAGGCGAGCAAGCGGCTCAATTCATGGGCTCTACCGAATTTATTGTTGCATTTAATGACCGCCGCATGCGGTTGTTGCTGTTGCTAGCCTTTTATTGCGCTGACGCAGTGTATTATGAATAAATTGTTTTTGCCATCCAAAATGCTGAGCAGATGAACAAGCTATGGCGGACGCGGACACTCTGCAACAATCAAATGACGTAACCGCAACGACCACTGAACAACATGCGCCCAAATGAGGCCAATACTCGTATAGAGCCAGTGCATTTTTCTCAGTTTCGTTCAACATACACACATACTATATAGCTATAGCTCTACGGACATGTGGCTGCCTATAAGCTGCCTACCGCGTCTATAGTACATACGAGTATTAACCGCACATTGCAATCGAATGCGAAAGCCATTCATAAAAACTGATAAAAATTTAATTATGTACCACACATTAACACATAATTATTTATGTTTGATAAATGTCACCAGTTTGTAAAACACGTAAATAATGCAAAAGAAATGCGTCGTTAAATGCACACAATGCACCGTTTTTATTTTGCAAAAAGGTATGCTGCTTTTTGTGAATATTTATGGCCAAGCAATGGCAGATAAAAGGAAGTAACAGCACTTTATTGTAACGAAAATTTGTATTATTTTCCTTGTGAACGATAATTTGTTACTCCATTGATTTCCAGTAAAATTAAATTTAAATTTAAATTAAAATTAAATTCTTTATAATTGTGGAAAAATTCTACTATCCAACTGAATGGCTCAAATATGTCTTTGAGAAAATGAATAACCCCTATAGAAAGATATTTTTTGACACACTTATGATACAAACTTTGATGTAGAATTCACATCGGATATCACCTGATATCAAGTGATAATGAAACATTTCCTTTCTTCAGTTTCCAATAGTCGAGTTTCCAGTCTCAGTGCATCCCCTAGTCCATCAGATCCCGCCGCATTTTGTCCTTTCAATCGTTATATACTTATTTAAATTGATGCTCAGTAGATAAGTATTTTATTTAAGGATTGCAGCGCTTGACTTTTATCATTTACCATTATGTTTCGATGTCAATGCTGTTGTTGCTCTTCGCTTTAATTATGTAAAATGAGCACGAAATATGGGTCAATTAAAGGCTGGCGTACTGGCCGTAAAGGTTTACAGTCATTGCTTTCAACATGGGCCTGACAGCTCCAAAGTCGTCAATGGGTGGTAAATGCGAGAGCAAAAACAAAGAGCCATGCAAAATGAATATATCGCTCGACATTCTCCCCGTCCCACCCACCTCGTTGGTGCACTGGTTCATTGTACGCATAAATTATGCTGCCATATGTCAGACAGTTTTCAAATGCGAGCGTGGTTGGGTTCTCTTCCTTTATTCTTTTTTTGGGTTTTGTTCAGTTTTCGCTGGCTATGGGACTGTCAAGTGGTTCTGTGATTGTGTGTGTGTGTGTGTGTGCTGGTCGGGATTTATGAGCCGACCGGACAAGAACATGGACATGGGTGGGCAGTAACAGCTTTCGTCTAATTGCCTTTGGCATTACGCCAAATGCCAACATAAATTTAAATACCGCCACTAAAGTTTTTCAGCAAAATGCAAGTGGCCAAAAATGGCTCTACAACAAATCTACACTGCACACTGCACAATGCAATGCAAAGCTGGGCAATGCATCCATTTAACCATCTATCCATCAATCAAACAGCTGTCAATCAATACCAGACACAGACTCGCCGGCATAGACTAAGACTAATTTTCACTGAAATAACGGCAGCCAATTCGGCAGCCGACTCTGGTTCAATTTGCCTAAAGTGAAGCTAATGAAGAGCCAATAAAATAAAGAGTTGTACCCAGTTGAGAAAGTACGCACACACTATATGTTTTCGCTGTATAAAGAAGGCAGTTAGTCCTATTTGTCATGAGATTGTCGCAACTGGAAAGCATTCAAACAATTGCGTTCATAAAGAAACAAGAGTAAAGCACAGATATTGTTATCCACTTGCGGATTTTATTTATTTATTTAATGTCGGTTAGGTTCAGATTTCCAAGATTCTTCTTACAGAGAAACTCAACTTGCGATTAACGACTTAGCGGAATATGTAAGTCTAGTCCAGTTTCAAACTCAACATCTTTCAAATAATTTCGTTTTCCATTTTTGGATTGTGATCGAAATTTGAAAGCCTTAAACAAAATTGTTATTACATACAGAAATCACAAAACAATAAAACGCCATAAATTATTATGGACTTGGATAACGGTATACAAGTTTTACGCGTGGAGTCTCTGAGAGACTTCTACCCGGACGGTTTACCAGAGTTCGACGACAACGCTGACGACAACAACAAGGAGAATCAACCCGAACCCGAACCCGAACCCAAACCCGCTGTCACTAATCTAGTAGTTGAAGATCAGAGGCCAGGCGAGGCCCTTCCTCCCGCCGATGATGGCAACAACCACCTCAGCAGTACGGCTCTGCCAACACCTCGGGCTATTCGGCGTCAGCGCCATGCACACCGCATATTATCGCCTTATAAGTGCAACGTGTGCCACAAGTATGTACGTGGCGGAGTCATTACGATATGTGGTCATATGTTTTGCTGGGTCTGCCTCTGGCCGACACTGCACGGTCGGAACCATCCCAAGTGCCCGAGATGCCAGCGGCGCTTGATTCTACACGAGGACATAATGCCCTTTCATGGAGAGGGACCGACTGCTGGCGCCGATGATGCCAACATTGTGGCCCAGCCCGGCAATGTGCCTCGCCCCAGTGGCTTGTATCTGAGCGAGCCGAACTATCCCTATTGGTTCACCGTTAACGATACCCAAATTGGATTGGACCGTCGTTTGGAGGAGATGCTGCTTCGGCTACAGCAGGGCTTCCCGCGCATGTGGAGGGTGATGCAGTGGCTCAATTCGTTTCAGTTGATCTGTGTAGCCCTAATGTTCGTTTTGTGGGCCATTGTGTCCTGGAAGTAGCGAACTGTACTCTGAGTGGCTGCCGTCCATGGAGGGCGTTAAGTGTTTTTGGAAGAAGGCGTCAAAATTATTTAACACATAACGCACTACTTGGATCCATGCCTGTTCTTTTTTGTCCAAATGCTTGCTTCTTAGTTCAATTTGCTTTAAAATGTATTCACAAAGAAAATATCTGAATGCTTCCCCATTTATTATTCTGCAACCTACCACACCGCCTCAATAATCCAAAAACTTTCCAGAGCTGAGCATACAAATAACTGAACATTTTTGTTATAATCGCAAATAATTTGGCCTAAGACCGCAATAAGTTTTGGACGACCAGTTGCAACTTAATTGCCCACAGCTTCCACAACTTTTTGCAGTTTGCTTTTAAATTATTCCTGTTATTATTTTGTTGTTGGTGCGGCTGCTGCTGAGCGTGGAGAAAGATCAACAGCGCCTTGTCTTGTCTTGACTTTGCGAAAACACGGAATATTTTATGAAGTCGTCGGCAAGTCAAAGTTCTTGCATGCAACGGCAAAGCGCTATGAGTAGCCTGAGCTGGTGGGAGCCTTTGAAGATGGATTGTTTCTAGCCAGCTGAAACAATACATTCTGTTTGCAGTGTAGCCAGCAACAGAAAGCTGACTGCAGTCTGAACTTCACAAAAGTTGTGCTCAAGTTATGTCAGTGGCTTCTAACTACTTGACTACTAAGAATGCCATCGGTCGCAGGGAACATAGCAATTCAGTTCAGAGCCCATTCAATGAAGAGACAACTGCCAGCAAATGAAGCAACATCTTCATCTTAATTAATATCGAGCACAAAACTGAAAGTAAGCTTCTTTCTTCCTCCAACACGAACTATATAAAACGTCAAAATCAAAAGTTTGAATTATAAATATATACTACAATTCCTACGAACTATACTGAAATTATTTACAAAATATTTTCGTATTAGTATTTGAGCTTAATACCCTGAAGTATGAGCTGCTGAGAAACTAAGCTTTTAGCAGATTAGACTGCATTGCAGTTCTTGACTGAAAATGTTTGGTTGAATATAATTATATACAAGTATACTATATATAGGAGGACAGTGCCAGATAAATGCCCTAAATTATTAAATTGACACAAAAGCCAGCAATCCATTGAATAGTGCAATGGAAGGCCTTGCTTATTTTAAAAGTTTAAATTCAAAGATTTCAATCACCTTTAATTGGTTAAGGTATGCCTGAATAGGAAGGATAATTGTGCCACTTAGTTGTAAATTAAGACGTGTATGTCGAATTAATCTGCGATATTTACGACACAATTAATTTCCAGCTAATAAGCATTGATTGCCTTCTTAATGAAGTGTACAAATTTGTAAATATTCATTCCCATTGCGAATTGTGAAGATGAGGATATATTGGCAGGCTCTTTGGCGAATCTTTTCGAATTGTTTGGACCTCCAACGACTACAACATGTGTTCCGACACCCAAAATCATGTGGGCCCAATAATCAATTGCATAATGAATTGAATCAGTTGTATAAAAATACATTTTAAAAATGAGAAAATACTCGTATTTATGCACAATGTCATGTACTTTTATAAGTGAAATTAATTGAAAAGAGAAGCAATAATAGCAACAATGACAACACAAAAACAAAAAAAAAACAGCGACAGCGACAATTGTATGAGTAAAATAAACGCAGCGAGGCACAACAATTGAGTTTGTGGTCGACATTAATTAATGGCAGCAGGACAGCAGGACGTATTCGATTCGATTCGATTCGATTCGCATTCGTATTTCAGTTGCAACTGCAGTTGCCAATGCAGCGTCCACTTCTGAATTGGGACAATGTTCATTTGTGTTGTTAATGGACCGTAGATAATCAAATATATGTACATCGAATGCCTCGAATTGTGTTAGCGATCAATTGCTGCCATCGATTATTCCTCACCAGCAATTGATTCTGGCTTCTTATCACGCCATAGCCTGGCATTTTAGTGATAAAGTGTCCTTCCACTCGCATTACCTGCCTTTCTCTTGCCACATTAAGTGTGGCCTCAAAGTATTGCTGAAGATTGTGTGCGTGGGGTCGTAGTACGACAAAATATTTATCATTAATTAAGCATATGCCGTAAAATCTTTACGGCGAACATTGCTCGACTGCCAAAGCCAGAAACATCAAATGTTAAGCACACTCGCACTCGTACGTAAATGCAGATGGCCACGTGGCATACACAAATAGCTGGCGAAGCATTGACGAGCTGGGCAGGCTGGGAGCTGGAAGAGTGGCGAGCAGATGGCTGTGGCAGACAGGGCAATCACGAGCGCGGCCAGTGAATCTGTTTTATTATTGCAGCTTAAGCGGCAGTTGGTGCTGCCGGTTATTGAACGGGAGATGCCGACACTCTCGTATACTATACAAGTATATGTGTACGCGTAGATGCCGACACACAAACACGTAGCCGTACATGAAAGCTCTGCCATGCGAGCATGCTGGGAAAATCCATTCTTTTCCTTGAGCAAACATGACGTTGTCGACGCGTCGCATCGCATCTCATCGCGTCGCGTCGCTTTGCTGCCGGCTGCGTTGTTTTCAACGTCGCATAAAATTGATGCGTTTTAAATTGCATTAAATTTTATGCAACTTAATCCATGGCACTCACACACACACAAGCATACAGTGAATCACTTCTACATAGCTCCTACTATATGAGAAGTAACTACAGTACTCTTCCTCGAAACGAGACCCACTTTAGATACGACTCAGTAATCCCAAGTATTGTAGTATGTGTATTACAGATAACTATTTTTATTCGCAGATACAGAATATCTCTCCAAAAAAGAAGTCATCATCAACCCTAGCAGCTTATCGCATTTCATCTAAATATTAGAAATCATGCATGCCATTTTGCAAAAGATTCCTTTGCTAATAAATACGTAACAAATGCAGTTTAAAGCTGAAGCATAGAAGGGAAAGAAGAAAGTAATAAATTTGCATAAAATAGTTGAGTTAAACTTCTTTACAGTACAGTTGTTTGTTCTTTCATATTCATATTTCAATCAGAAACCCATATCATTCAGGGGTCCATATCTAACATCCGTTTTGCATTCCATTCCTATTGGGGACAATATTCTAAGTAGGTCTTAACTACTTTTTAAATGACACGAATGCAAGTGAATAATAAAATAACTTGAAGCGTTCGGTATTTGTCTTCGAAATCGAAAGAAGGAAAGCCAACATATTCAAGACATTAAAGTATCTTTATATTTTAAAGACTACACTTAAGCAATTCGAACTGTATGTGTCTGGATGTGGCTGGTTGCTGGCAGTCTACTGAAAGACTGGTAATTTAATTTAATTTTTGTTATTTTGGTTGCCGTTCTTGTTGTCGCCAAGCTTTGGCACTCCGTTAGCCACTAAATTACATGTATTGATTACTGGCTTCATCGCTCGGCTTTCGTTTATTGCATTATGCTTGTTTATAGTATGTTTCTTAGATTATAGTTTCTGTGTGCGTGATAGTTTTTGTACTAATTTTTGGCCAATTTGCGGCATGGGTTCAAACTAAACGGAGGACCCACCCAAAGGCATTTCAAGTGCCTGGCAAAGTAAATATTTGGCAGTCATTAAATGAAATCAGCGTCCCGATGTTGGCGCCTGCGTCTCCGTCTGCTCATCAAGAGCAAGTGCGTCATTAAAATCTTCCGCCGTCTGCACAACAAAGCGCAAGTAAATTGCTTGGCACGATTGTGTGTGGGTGCATGTGTTCGAGTGAGTCTGTGTTCATGTCTATGCGCGCGCGTGTGTGTGTGTGTGTATGTGTTTGGGTCTGCAATTTTTAAAGCCAAAATTACCAAGCTTTACAGAAAGCTCAAACATTTCCAGGCAGCAGCAGCAGAAGCAGCAACAGCAGCCACTCGCTCAAATTATGCTGCCTGGTAACACATGACGTATACATAATTACATTTGCCATTATGCATACAAAGTTTCCCCAACGCACACAGCTGCACACACTAGTGTGTAGTAACACACACACACAGATGCAACAAAACTATCACTTGTCACTCGGGTGCCCAGAGGGCACACAAACTGTGCGCTGCTAGCTCCGCTCTGCGTCATTTTGCAGTAATTTTCATTTCAATTACAGTATCTGTCGCCTAGGCATTTGAAATGCAATGTGTGATGCAGGCACACGTTTTAGACGACAGGGATGGGACTGAGAGGGGGGATGGGCATGGACATGGGGAGGTGGAGTTGGAGGAATGGATGCAGTCAACGGTAAATGTGGCTTTTATTCATTACATAATTACAGATGTGTTTGCTTTGCGGCATACGGGCAGACCAGACCCCACGGTGTTAGAGATGATGATTATGTGCAATTGTCAAGGTTAGCAATAGTGTGTGGCTAAATTATTGTCTGATTGCGACTGCTTGAATTACAGACACAAGCGTCTGCCCATGGCCTCATATTGCCATATTTGACATCCACAATAATAATAAAATTGAATAACTAAATTGATTAAAAATTTCTTTGTGTCTTTGTGCATTTGACATGAGGAGGCTCCCAACCGGTTGCTTATTGCATTGCATTTTGATTTACATTTGAAGTAATTAAGAAAAAAATACAATTGTAAATAAGTTTGTTTCCTGTGCTCCCTCTAGATAAAATAACAATGCACTCATGGTTTAATAGTTTAGTGTAGTCTATTGTAACTGACAAGATATTCTGTATCAAGACTAGGATGAAAGCCTGTCAACACAAAACTACGAATTTAAACCATTTCTTCTCAATCTCAAAAAGGAAAAGCTAGAGTTTTTAAATACTAGATATAAATCACTAAAGGCATGCAAATATTATACACTAAATATTATAGCATTTAAAAATCAAAATCACAGCTGAATAATCAAACACAGTTCAAAGATAAGTTTCCAAATGGAGGAAGTATTTTGTTATATTTATATTTCTTTAAAAAGGAAATAGTTTGACTAACTTGCTTGCTTAAGTCGTATTCTGCAGCCAATATAAAATAATAATATAAAAACTGAGCTGTGTAGATTGGAGTCCAATATTCGACTGCCAACATTCCAGCTAGGGACTGATGACGACTCCTAATAGCCTTTCATAGAGGAGAGTTTTATGTTGGGTCATTCTGAATTCAATTACTTGTACTGCTGGTACGAAGACATACGTGTATTTATATCAAT